CCCTAAAGGGGTAGTAAAAAAAAAAATGTGTGTGAAAGTTCACATTCAAAATGGAATTTCGCCGATGGCGGGAAAAGAGTGATGAGAAAAAGTACCTGAATAATGTAACCCTCACACTCTAAAACACCTCATGAACATGATTCCACCAGAAAGGGTCTACTTTTCCTTCATGTACCCACAGATCTCAGAAACTTCCCTAAGTGGGTTAGACGACACCCCCAGGCCCATGCTTACCTCTCCTCCCGCTCACGTTTTTGTTTCCGAGCATGGCGATCCATTACACTAGTTTTAGTCCTTGTCTTCTTCCAAGAGTAGTAAAATTTCACTAGACTTGCTATAGATTTATCAGGAAGCTAAATATAAAAAATGAGTTGGTTTAGATTTAAAATTAGTCTTTAAAAATCAAATGTGTTTAGATGCATTTAATAAGGATCACTCTCACATACCCGGAAATGTCCTAACTCATAGTCCTTATTTTCAGAAAAGAAAAAAATTGATAAGAGTTCTTATCAATATACATTTTCAAATTATGGAAGTTTAACTGTGACATTAGCCAAAAAGATAGTAAATCAGTTCAGGATAAATCAGAGTTTTCACACACTCAAGGTTCTTAATACCACCTTTGTTTTTGTTTTTTTTTAATTAATTTGAATACTTAATGTAAACTTCAGTAAGTTTTTAAGCAGGAGTCTACCTAAGAGCTTACTGGAATGAAATGGTTAAGCAAACTTTTCCCAGGCAGAGCCCCATGAAGCTCCATTCCAAACAACTATCAAAGATCTTTTCCACTGGTCTCATCTTCTGGGAGTCCGGACAAGGATTGGGATGGTGGGTGGGGAGCTGACAGGCTGGGGGTGCCAGGACGTGCGTCAGTCCTGGAATCTGAAGACTCCCACCCAGGGAGCACCGTGGAGCAAGCTGCACTGTCTAAAGGGAGCTTGATTAAAAATGGGAGTATCTGCGCTTGAGGATGAGACCCCTGTCTCCCAAGTATGCTGCAAAAGAGAGGCTGGGGCTTGGGGTGGGGTGCTGGGAATCAATAGTCTCATCTACTTACCATTTGTTGGATTCTATGAAAAGTTTTCCCATGAAAACTAAAGGCTTGTTCAAACAAGACTTTATCCTCCACAGTCCACTCATCTGGGAAGGGGGTAAAGTTGGGCAAATCAGCCAACGATTTTTCAATATTATGCTTATGCCAGAAGAGCATCCCAAGAGCCTAGAAAAATGATATCAGTGAAATTTTATTCAAACAAAAAACTGAACACTAAAATGAAAGTGAGACTGGTAAAAGAAGAGTATGTACTACTTTATATTCAGACAAATTAATAACTAACTTATATAACACTAAGTGGCAGACACTTCACTGAAGTCTCTATTTCTTCATGTGGCTGAGTTATTGTCTAGTGTCCCTTCATTTAACCCTTTAGGACTCCTTTAAGTATTTCCTGCAGGGCAAGGTTAGTTGTAATGAACTCCTGCAGCTTTTGTTTATCTGGGAATGTCTTAATTTCTCCCTCTTATTTTTAAAGGGTAGTTTTGTCAGATAGAGGATTCTCGGTTGACAGTTTTCTTCTCTAAGCACTTTGAATGTATCAGTCCATTGCCTTTTGGTCTCCAAAGTTTCTGAAGAGAAACCTGTCCACTATCTTTTTCAGGAATCCCTGTATGTAACAAGTCATTTCTCTCTTACTGCCTTTAAGATCTTCTTTATTTTTGCTTTTGACAGCTTGATTACAACATGGACTTTCTTCAGTTCTTATTTAGTTTGTTGATCTTCTTGGAATGTTTATATTCATGTCTTTCATCAAATTTGGGGAGTTCTGGGCCATTATTTCTTCAAATAATCTCTCTGCCTATCTCTTTCTCTTCCCCTTCTGAGGCTCCCACAGTGCATATGCTGGTCCCCTTGACTGTGTCCCACAGGTACCTCAGGTGCTGTTCACTCTACTTCAATCTTTTTTCCTTCTGTTCTTCAGTCTCAAATAATTTCCACTGTCCTATCTTCATGTTCTTCTCATTCCTTCTTGTGACTGTTCAAATCTGCCTCTGAATCCCTTTAGTGAATTTTTCATTTCAGTTATTGTATCTTTTAGCTACAGCATTTCTTTTTGGTTTCTTTTTAGGTTTTACATCTCCTTATTGACATTGATATTGCCATTTTGTTCATACCTCATTTTCTTGACTTTTTCCACATCTTCCTTTAGTTCTTTGAGCATCTTTAAGATAACGGCTTTAACGTCTTTGCCTAGTAGATCTGCCACCAGGTTTTTTTCAGGGACAGTTTCTGTTGATTAATTTTTTCCCTTTCAATGGGCCATACTTTATCATTTCTTTCTATGCTTTGTGATTTTTTTCATTGAAAACTACACATTTGAGTCTAATAATGTAGTACATCTGGTATTCAGACTCTCGCCCTTCCCCAAGGGTTTGCTGTTTATTATTATTATGATTATTTTAAACTGTTGTAGGCTGTCTGTAAGCCAAGGATCAGCCTAAAGTGTAAACTTAAGGTCTTTTCAGGTCTTTTCTGAGCCTATGCCTTTCCCTGAGTGTGCCTGGCAACTTTTTATTAATAATTTCCCCCTTATATGCATTTACTTTTCAATGTCCTCGTCTTTATGTCTGGCTCCCAAATCGAAAAAAGGAGAAGAACGAAGGCAGGGGAGGAAGCAGGGGAAGTCACTTCAGCCGGAGGGAGAGGAGCTGGCAACTACGTGGGGAGGAGCAACGATGGCTGCCGGTCTCCTTGTCTGCACCTTTGTCATCAGAAGTAGCAATCAGTAATTAGAGCGCAGATCCTGTATTTGGAGAACAAGGTGCTTTTTGCTCACTCAGGCTCTATAAATAAGCTGTGTGCAAGCCGCTCCAGGAACACATTTACGGTTGCTTGCCACAGGGCAGGGGTTGGGAGATGGGGAGCTACAAGCTTGCTATGATCTGAAAATGAGCAAAGTTGCAGGCTTTCAACAGATTTCAGAGTTCCAAAATAGGTACCTCAGACAGATTCTGCCAGTGCAATTTGTGTCTAGGTGGGGAGACAGTCTCTTGGTGCTTCATACTCTGCCATCTCCCAGAATTCTCCTTGCCATATGTACTTTGTATACTACCTCATTTATCTCAAGTCTTGTGAGATAAATTCCATTATTCCCACTTCTCGAATTAGAGTACCGAGGCCCTGAGAAATAAAGTAACTTGCTAGAAGCAGCATGGATCTAGAATCTGTGCTCTTCAAGTGCCACACTTTAAATGCCTCTCTCTATAAAAGCAGAAAGTAATTTATAAAAGTACTCCATTGTTTTGTTATTCTCTTATTTAAAAAACCTCTAACCTTTTTTTTCCAGCTGAGAAAGAATAGGTAAGGAACAAATTAAAAACCAATTGCAACAATATAGCAATACTTTCCTGAAAGAATTTTCTATACTGCAATTGTAAAGTGAAAATGATCATGTTAATGATCATTTCTAAAGTAGAAATGATCAAAGACTAGGATCCTTATGAATTCATAATGGTATATTTAGCAATCACCCAATAATATTTATACTTTCTAAATAGAATAAAAAATCCGGGAGTATACATTCAGGGGCAACTTCAATCTATACTCCCAAGTTATAATCACCAATAACAAAAAATTTAAATATTTTTTTTAAATTAATGATTTTCTAAGCAACTTTGTGAAGTTTTTAAGTAGAGTTTGGAAAAACAGAAGCATATGTTTCTTATTTTGAAGATTTTGGAACTATCTTAGTGTAACTGGCTTTTCTAAAAGTACCTTCAATGACCAGGATAGAGTAATTGAATGTAGGACCAAGCCCAAAGTGTACAATTTTATATAATCTAAACTCTTGGTACCGTCAATCATTAGGATAAATGAGAAACATTAATACCTTAAAGGCTGTAAAATCTAGATCAATGCCATATTAAGGATTAATCCAACTTAATGTACTTAAAACAGGTCATTAGAAACAAGGCTGAAAAAAGACATCAACATACTTTTGAGAGAAATAAACTTTGTGGATTTTTTTTCAATATGTTCCCAAAAATATTTTTTAAAAAACCTTAGACTGGACGTGGTGCCTACGATCACGTGAGGAGTTCAAGACCAGCCTAGGCAACATAGCAAGACCTCGTCTCTACAAAAAACAAAAATAAAAAAATTAGCCAGGTTTGGTGGTGCACACCTGTAGTCCCAGCTACTCAGGAGGCTGATGTGAGAAAATCACTTGAGCCCACAAGTTTGAGGCTGCAGTGAGCTATAATATGATTGCGCCACTGTACTCTAGCCTGGGCAACAGAACAAGATTCTGTCTCGAAAAAAACAACAAAAAAACCCAAGTCAAATGTTTACAACCTGAAAGTGATTCCAAACAAAGAATATTACAACACTCTAAGTTTGAGTGTGACAACCGGAGTCAGAAAACATCATACAACCAGAAAAATGACAAGCAAATCATATATTCAAATGAGAAAGCATTATGCTCAAGTATGCAGCCCTTAGTAACCAACAAGTAACCACTGTCCTAAAGGCTGTAGACCTGCAGAAACGCACAGATGCCTTTCAATCACAGGGTCCTCTAATACTCACACAGGACCAGAGTCTGTATAACCACCAAAAGGTTGCTAATGAGGAAACACTGCTAACTCAGATACAGAGAAGAAAAACATTTAATAATAGGCTATGAAGACCCATTTTTAACAGCAAAAGAAAAACACCTGTCATTACCTGTTCCATGTTGTACCCATGCTTCTCTTTGGCAATGGCAATGTATTCGTCCACTGAAAAACAAGATGAGAGGCCAGTAAACAAACTGCAGGGCAGAGCACAGTCTCGTCTGCTAGAATTGATATACCAGTATCTCACAGGCTTGCCACGCACAAGACTAACAGTAGACACACAGTAACAAAATAGAATCATATAATATAATCCAATCATGGATTCCACAGGGAAATGCTGAATATATACTCAAATAGTAATAGCAGATATCTCCTGCGATGAGATTATTGGTTTTTTGAGGTTTTTTTGTTTTGTTTTGTTTTTTTTTGAGACAGAGTCTCTCACTCTGTTGCCCAGGCTGGAGTGCCGTGGCGTCAGCCTAGCTCACAGCAAACTCCTGGGCTCAAGCGATCCTCCTGCCTCAGCCTCCCGAGTAGCTGGGACTACAGGCACACGCCATCATGCCCGGCTAATTTTTTCTATTTTTAGTTGTTTGGCTAATTTCTATTTATAATAGAGACGGGGTCTCGCTCTTGCTCAGGCTGGTCTCAAACTCCTGAGCTCAAGCATTCTTCCCGCCTCGGCCTCCCAGAGTGCTAGGATTGCAGGCGTGAGCCACTGCGCCTGGCCCAATTATGGGTTTTTGTTAAACTTAATTCTACTTAAATTTTCTACAACAAAGTATTACTTTAAAAAATAATTACTTAGCAGTAAAAAGAACTATGAAATTTGATTCATGTTTAGTCTCAGCTGAGGCTGAAGAACAAGGAAGCTATTTTTATGTTTTTTAAAAAAAAAAATCTTAGGGATAAATTACATGACCCAATGCTGGTATTTGCTTTCGCATACGTGCTGCTCCAATACAAGGTGGCAACTGCTAGCTTTCAAGCACTAAGAAAACACCAAGGAAACAGATTGACTCAACCTCCAGAAGAAGGTCCCGCCTCCATTTCCCCCCTAAGAATTTTCTAGACCTTCTCAAGTGCACCAGAAGAATAATGGACTACTAGTCAATAGCACTGCCTTAAATTCATGTATGATTTTCTTTTATAAAAACAACACAAGCTCCAAAAAGAAATCAAGTAGCATAGAACTGTATGAAACGAGCAGTAAAATCCCCTCTAACCTCTTGTCTCTTGCTTCCAAATCTCACTCTCCAGGGGAAATGACCAAACTTAAAAAAATAGGTTCACAGTGGTTCACTTGCCCACTGTTACACTTTAGTAAACGGAAGAGATATATTTAATAAAAGGGAGAGCTTCTAAACCTCAGTATGCTATTCAATTATACCACAACCATGTTCCTAACTGTAGTATAACTGACAACCAATTTAGGAAATAAAAATCAATTTTAGAAAAGAATTCAAATACTTTGTTATAAGCATGTATTCTATTACTGGTGAAAAAATATTAATCAATGAAAAAGTCAACCTAATTCCAACAGCAACTACCTATACTGCAACTCAATATTGATTTTAATACTAAGGCTAATTTTTACAAATATCGATGTTAATACTAATTTTCCATTTGTTTCAATATTTAAAATATTGACAAACTACTGGTTACTTCACTGAGAATACAGTAAAATTCCAATTCACCTGAAAGTCAGTGATGACAAACTAAATGACCGTAGTTTGTCACGAAAGTTGGAACGGGTGACTTTAAAAGTACAGGAGGGAATTACCCCAAAGTGTGTCCCTTGCTTTTTTCTTCACAATAGGGTAGATTAGGCCAGATAAGAGAAAAGTGCTCTAAGGTTCTAAAAAATGCTAATGC